GAAGGGATACGACATTCAGCGGGTTCTCCACTTGACCCAGGCCTTCTCTTCAGACTCAGCTTTGTCGGGTGAACTTGAGACATGTCTGAAACAAGTGAGAGTGGTGCAGGTCCAACTCGCTTTCAGGTAAGACCAATTTTTGCCCTCTCTTTCTTACTGCTTTGCCTTTCCAGCCCCCTTTGCTGCTCCAAATCTTTGGAGCTTCTCCTCCCATCCTTGTCATTCTCCACCCACTTCTTTGCCGGGGTGCATCCCCTCTCCCCAGTAGAGGGGAGGCCAGGAGGAAGGGGGAGAGGGTGGGAGGGCCCTTGTACTGTCACTACTTTCTACTAAGGGGAAGGGGAGACCTTTTTATGGGGAGGTGATCAGAGCACACTGCAGGTAGAAGTCTTTACAGGTCAGAGAAGTGGTGCCTCGGAATTTGGGGACCATTTCTATAGTTGAGGGTGGGGAGAAGGTCGGCGAACTTCGCTGCTTCCCCTTGCAGGGCAAAGCTTCAGAAAAGGACAGCGGCTCCATGATGCAGGACCTGTTGCCCGCGACCCAGAACTTGGAGGTCTCAGAGACACCGAAGGCTGAAAAGGCACCAGAGGTCTCAGAGGCTGCAAAGGTCCCCAAAGCCTCTGGGAACCCGAAAGCCACAGAGGTCTCGAAGGCCCCAGAGGATTCTGAGGCAGCTGCCACCCAGCCTTCAACTACCACACAGCTGACTGATACCCAGGTTCTGGCAGCTGAAAACAAGAGCCCAGCAGCTGACACCAAGACGCAGAAGGCTGACCTGCAGGCTATGACAATGCCTGCAACCCAGACCAAAAAGGTCAGCTGTGTTACTGATCCGAAGGTCAGTACAAAGGCCCCTGAGACTGAGGCTGCTGACTCTCAGGCTGGAGCAGATGAACCAGAGCCTGAGGGTGCAGCTGTCCAGGTCCAGGAGAATCAGGATACTCGGCCCAAGGTCAAAGCCAAGAATACCCAAAAGGTAAGACCTCTGCCACAGCTGCCCTTGCTCCTCCACATTCATCATGTCATTTGGTTTGTTTGTTCTGCAAACATTAAAAAATCTCTTGTCCTCATGAAAGACACAGAGGAATGTGTTACAGTTCTTGTATCCACAGAGCTCACAGGCTGGTGGGGAGATATGACAGGAATATACATAGCTGCAATCTGTGATGCACTTTATATTTATGCAGTAGCTGTACACTTATCTGAAAGTAACTCCTATGGTTTCGTTCTGTAGAGAAGGAAAATGATGTCCAGAGAGAGGGCTAGTCCAGGTTGGCATAAGCAGAGTCAGTGGTGGACATAGGAAGAAGAGAATCCCCATGCCGTATTTCTGAGTTGTTCCTGATCCACTCAGGGAGGAAATTCCCAACTGGTACTCAGTGATAAGCCCATGACTCAGGATGGCTAGTGTACAGTGAGGCAGACTATTACGACAAGGTCAGAGTTAGGGGTACATCCAAGAAGAGACAGGGTTAGGGCGTGCTTTCCAGAGGAGACTGAGTTAGGAGAAAGAACCATCTGCTTCACTTGCTGATGTTGGTCCTCTTCTCTGTCGATGCAGGTGAAACACTTGGATGGGGAAGAAGATGGCAACAGTGGCAACAGTGGCAACAGTGGCAACAGTGGCAACAGTGGCAACAGTGATCAGAGTCAGGCTTCGGAAACCACAGGTGGTCGGAGGGTCTCAAAGGCCCTAATGGCCTCCATGGCCCGCAGAGCTTCAAGGGGACCCATAGCCTTTTGGGCCCGCAGGGCATCAAGGACTCGGTTGGCTGCTTGGGCTCGCAGAGCTTTGCTTTCTCTGAGGTCACCTAGAGCTCGGAGAGGCAAGGCCCGAAGAAGAGCTGCCAAGCTGCAGTCTGCATCCCAAGAACCTGAAGCACCCCCACCTAGAGATGTGGCCCTTTTACAAGGAAGGGTATGAACTTCATCCTGTACATCCCACCTTTTCCACGGCCTTGCCCGACTTTTTAGTCTTTTCACTGTTTCCTTCTCTCTTAGGCAAATGAATTGGTGAAGTACCTGTTGGCTAAAGATCAGACGAAGATTCCCATCAGGCGCTCAGGTAGAGTCCTATAAACAAGTTCCCTCTCCTGAGGTCTGCCTTCTCTCCAGTGTGCTGGGGACATCCTTCCCTCTCCTGTTCCTATCTCTTCTCCCAAAGTTCTCGGAGTAGTGCCATCATTATCAATAAGCCCAAAACCTGATTATGACACCCATGGCATGGACAACAAAGGGTCTGTAGGTTGGACATGAGGGTCACCTGGTATCTCTACAGCCCCGATGTTTACAACACTCTCCTTTTGCAGATATGCTGAAGGACATCATAAAAGAATATACTGATGTATACCCTGAAATCATAGAACGAGCAGGCTATTCCTTGGAGAAGGTGATGGGGCAGCCCTGGGGGATGGGTACACTGGGGAAACCTTAAATAGAAGAAAAATATAGGATCACCCTCCTGGTGGGAAGTACAGAGACTGAATACATTCCCAACACCTACAGATGAGCACACACGGGCGTAGGGAGGGGCAGCCACTGATCACACAGCAAGTCAGTGGCGGAAACACAGAGAGTACTAAAGCTGCACAGCTTAGTCCTAGCTTCTGTCGGCTGCTGGCTACACTGTCTTATGTATTGCAGATGCTCACCTCGCCATCTACCTAAATTCCCACTGATCACAAAGATGCTATGGATGACCACCCTGTTTGTTACATGTATAATGCGCACTTAGCTATGTGCTTTATATACAATATTCCATCAATTTCTCTCTCACATACACAAAAAACCTTTGGCTATTATGAGGAGCCACAGGATGCCTGGGAAGCTGGATTTTATGAATTTATAAGCTATTCTCCTCATCCACAGGTATTTGGAATTCAGCTGAAAGAAATCGACAAGAGTGACCACTTATATATTCTTCTCAGTACCTTAGAGCCCACTGATGCAGGCATACTGGGAACGTAAGCTGGGGAAGTGCTAGGGTGTGAAGGGGCTTCTTGCTTCCTCTTAGAAGCTCAGGAGAGAGGGTCTAAACACCTGTGTCCCAGCTCCCACACATGGCTGGATCCCTATGAGCAATAGGGTGCCAGATTATAACTGACAGAAGGGTTTCAGAGCCTGGACTGGGGCATTCCTGCTGTCAGGTTTGCTTGTTCTAACAAGCTCCCAGGAAATTGGATTGCTGTCACTTGTCTCTTCTACTGAGTGCCTGGCCTGGCTGTGGAAGGGTGGCTTTTAAAAGAGGGAGGGATTTCTGTTGTGCACCATGATGCTTGAGAGCAGGAGTGTCACTAGTGTTCCATCTAGTACTTCTCAGTGCCAGGGGACTTCGGGAGATAAAGAAAAGCCTCCCAATGACTGAGTGTCCATGTGGTGGACAGGGATTCCTCCATGTCCCGCTAACCCTGGGTAGAGATAGTATGTGGTTTCCCATTTTACTGGAGACCTTGGCTCAAGAGTGAAAGCAGCTTGCCTTAGGTCATGGATAGCTGGGACCATAGAGTAGGCCAAATTTTCTGTATCTGAGGAATCTAGGTGAGGCTGGTCTATTGAGCTGTGCTGTATAGATGGTGGCTCATGAACATAAATTTTCTCTCTGTCCTGTTATTCTCTTAGGACCAAGGACTCACCTAAGCTGGGTCTCCTCATGGTGCTTCTTAGCATCATCTTCATGAATGGAAATCGATCCAGTGAGGGTGAGTGGCTGGACATGCAGTTGAATAGGTGGCTGTTGTCTGAATTCCAGGTGCTCATTTTCTGTCTTTGTCTCCTTCTTGCCCCCTCTTGCAGCTGTCATCTGGGAGGTGCTGCGCAAGTTGGGGCTGCGCCCTGGGTATGATTGGGCTCTCTCAGCGCTTGCTGTCCATGTTGTCTTTTGGCAAGAGAGGACGGTCCCAGGATTGCATCAGCCTGGTGGTCTGATGGAGCATGTGTGGGGTGGGGGTGGGGAAAACTGGGCTGGGTAGTGGGCCCAGGGTTCTGACCTACTGGATGGGGAAATGCCTCCCATCTCTGCTCACCTTCTCACCATATCTTCAACTTCCATGGAGCTTTCTCTATACTGTAAATCTGTTTTGTCATGGAAATGCCTCTGCCAGCACTTGGGAAGTGTAACAGATCTGATTATATTTATTTGCTTATTCAGCTTTCTGTGTTCTCAGGATACATCACTCACTCTTTGGGGATGTGAAGAAGCTCATTACTGATGAGTTTGTGAAGCAGAAGTAAGTGCCTATGTCTCGTGTGCGTGTGTTTGTGGTCTAAGGTGTGCATGTGTGTATGCTGTTGGCAGGTTATTTCTGGGAGCAGTCACAGCTTCAGAACAACTCTGTGAGGGAGTTGAAGACAGTCTTAAGGAATTTAAGTCATTTGCTCAGGGTTACACAGATAGCAAATAAAAATTGTGTTTAGAACATGGCTCTTTTTACTCGGCTAAGTAGCACTTTAAAAAACTTAATTTCCATTAAGATGGCCTCAAGTGGTACCCTTAGGCAACCCAGGATAGTGCTGCTGGGTACTGACTTGTGGATTTAGTATCATTTATATAACTGTGTACCATTCATTTAGGTAAATGATATGATATGATATGATCCCTAAGAGGGGATGTTTGAGCATGGCCCACAGGTAATTTTAAAAAAGGCTCAGTTGGGTCTGGAATCCTAACCTGTTGACTTTGTAACTAGGAGTCTACCTTGTATTATTGGGTGTCAGAGAAGAATATGCATGCACTCACATAGAGAAACAGTTGTGTTTAGGAATATGCTCTCTCTCTCTCTCTCTCTCTCTCTCTCTCTCTCTCCTCTTCCTCTCTTCCTCTGTCTCCCCTGCCACGTACTCCATTCTGGCCTCAAACTTATATGGTTAGGGATGACGGTTAATTCCTGATCATCCTGCTTCAGCCTCCCGAGAGCTGGAATTTAAGGCATGTGCTACCATGCCTGGCCAGTCTTTTTTTTTTAATAGTGTATCTTTCCAGGTCTTGGTCAGCTCTCCTTCCAAATCCTTGCAGTGTGGTGTGCTCAGAGCAGGGATCCTGAAGAATGGACTCTCTGTTTACAACACACCCAACAGTAATCTGGGGGCACTGCAATAAGGAGCACAATACTTGTGTCCTCCTGTGAGCAAGTGCCCTACATGTTTCTCCCCAGTTCTTCCACATGGTTTCTGGGCATTACCTATAGGATAAGGCTCAATATTGGGGGAAGGACTGAAGTATCTAGTTGCATCTATGACCTATCTCATCCATTCATGCATGGTCCACATTTGACCCTAGAAATAGACTTTGAATCTCTCTTTCATAGGTACCTGGACTATGCCAGAGTACCCAATAGCAATCCTCCTGAATATGAGTTCTTCTGGGGCCTGCGCTCTTACTATGAAACCAGCAAGATGAAAGTTCTCAAGTTTGCTTGTAAGGTAATTGGAGAGCCATTTGTACTTGGCATATGAAGGTAATGGGGAACCCTGGGATGGGGCGTTCTATATGCAGAGTGTCCTGATGTTTATATCTGGACATTTTAAAGCTTCTATGTTATCAAACTCTGTGACAAGCACTGTATCTAGATCATTTAATCCTTATAACTGGTACAGGTTTGTTGTATTGCACATGTGAAAACAGCCTCAGAGAAGTTGGTGGGTGATGTATCCAAATCGTAGAGTCAGTTAAGTGTCGATGAAGGGATGGAATGGTTGGTGCAGAATTACTTGTCATGATTGTATTGTTAAATGACATACAGTGTATAAAGTATGGTGCCTTGGCAACAGTAGATGTTAAATTCTGATTTTGAGTTTCCTAAGGGTGATTATTTCCATTTCAGGTGCAAAAGAAGGATCCCAAGGAATGGGCAGCTCAGTACCGAGAGGCGATGGAAGCAGACTTGAAGGCTGCAGCTGAAGCTGCTGCTGAAGCCAAGGCGAGGGCTGAGATTAGAGCTCAGATGGGCATTGGGCTCGGCTCTGAGAATGCCGCTGGGCCCTGCAACTGGGACGAAGCTGATATTGGACCCTGGGCAAAGGCCCGGATCCAGGCAGGAGCTGAAACTAAAGCCAAAGCCCAAGAAAGTGGTGGTGCCAGTGCCGGTGCCAGTACCGGTACCAGTGTTGGTACTGGTGCTAGTGCCAGTGCCAGTGCCAGTGCTGGTGCCAGTGGTGGCTTCAGTACCAGCTCCAACCTGACTGCCACTCTCACTTTTGGGCTCTTCGCTGGCCTTAGTGGAGCTGGGGCCAGTTCCAGCAGCAGCTCTGGTGCCTGTGGTTTCTCCTACAAGTGAGATTCAGGTATCTGTCATGGTGGTAGTGAGGTAGCTAGGGCCCATGGGGTTGGGATGGGGAGCTGAGTCCTGGGTTGGAGATAAGCATGAAGCATGTGCAAAGACTCTGCTGTGATTTTCCTGTGTCCTGTTTGCAAGATACTGACTGATTTTCCCGTACTTGTGTTTGCAGATATTGCTATATTCACAGCATCTTCTTCTCAAGCCAGGGTGTGCTTTCGGAAACGTACTCAACACAGCACTCTAGGCAGCCACTATCAATCAATTGAAGCTGACACTATATATTAAATCTATTTGCCATTTCTGAGTTTATTGCCTTTTTTGGTAGACTGTCACCAATTCTAAAAACAATTGACAAAGTTTCCATCACACTGGTTGGATTCCTGAGAATGACAATTAGCACATCTCTCTGGATTGGTCAGGCATCTCTGTCCTCTAGAGTAGGTAGGCTTTCTGGGGGGGGCAGAGTCATGGGGATTGTAGTTTCAGAAGACACTGTTTCAAAAAGAGGCCTGACTCTCCTTTTGAGAAATGTGAGTGAAAAGTGTAGAGAAAGGTGGTTAGAAAGATCCAAACAAAAGAACATGCTTTTCAGGGAAGAAGAGTATAATATAGTGGGTTAGAAGCCAGTGGAGAGGGAGAAGTTGAACACTGATCCATGTGTCCCAGTCCCTGAGGAGATGAAAGGTATGAATTTCGGGAAATCCTGGGAGAATGCACTGTCCAGACAGGACTTAGAGAGGAGATGTAAGTAGTGGGAAGATCCTAACAATGCATAGAGCTCATGATTAGGGCAGGGAAGGGGTGGAGACATGATAGTGTGACTGGCATTCCAGGTATAACAACCAAGAAAACAAGTATCGGTTTACTCCAAGGATTGGGTTTTGTCATTTGGGTTTAGAATAAGAACACAGGATCAAGGGGAGTGAGTGTGAATCTAGGTCTTAGCTATAGTGTCTGGTGCCTGACTTAAAACAGTACTTACAAAGACTGACAGAAGAGACTGGGCAATGGAACCTAGACAGATGTGGAGAAAGATGAGTATATGAGGTAGATTAAGGACCAGTGTGGGGGGATCTGAATAGGAGTCTAAAGTCCAAGAATGGGGCACCAAGCTAAATATCGTTGGTGGCTGCTGTATGTCTGATGGTGTTCCAGGTGTCTAGGGGAACTTAAGTTTTAGTCACACAGTAGGGTATTTGAATGTAAGAAGATGATGGCTTGGAGGTCAGGGCATTAGTTGAGCTATCCACATGAGCATCAAATTCACTTGTACAGAAGCAAGAATGGGGATGGAAGTGGACCACTATAAGCCAGAAAACCCAAAGTCCTCTCCAGTGGTTAAAGGCGGTTTCTGCCATTGCTCACTAAGTGATGTGGCAGATTGGACTAAAGGCTACTGGAGATTGACTTGAGTGTATGCAGGAAGAGTCTTGCCCTTTCCTTTGTGGGGAGACTTGCCATCTCTAATTCCTATGCTAATAGATTCCTAGTCACTGAGAAAATCTTGTGGGTAATGAGGCCCTTGTAATGTCCACCTCTTTCACTCTATAGTCAATTAAAGCAACATTTCTTTCTTAAGAAAAATAATTGGGGGAAAATGACCACAAAACACCAGCCAGACAGGAACCGCTCTTAACTATGGCCATCGATTCAAATCTAATTTCACTCCCGGGGAGGTCTTCACTAAAAGCAGGTCCTTCTATTGGGGGACAAGCCATGGTCTCAGGAGGCTGGATGGTATCTATGATATGCAGTTACGAGTCAGCTTTGGCATCCTAGGAAGGAGTCAGTGAATACTGTGTCAATGGTTACCTCATTGCCAGGTGATGCCTATGTAAAAATGGGGACTAGGATATAATGGAGGGTACTGAAGAACTCGAGGACTGTAGGCCTGATAAAACTAGAGTTTAAAGTGCTCAATAGAGTTAAGAATGAATCAGTCATGAAGAACTCTGCCCTTGCTGTGTGTCCTCACTTCTCAGGAAACTTAGGGGTTGGCTATTTTCCAAATGTCAGGCCTTGCAGGCATGTGGGATAGGGAGAAAAAGTCATCCCTGGCAAGTGAGGTTACAGCATGGAAGAGGGTGTGGCAGAGAACATCATGGAAAACCTTGTTTCTGCCACCTTTTCAGCCTAGAGGCCATTATTGGAACAAATGAACACTGCAGACTCTAGTCCCTCCTTTAGGATATCATTAGTTAATCCAAATAATTTTGCATTAGATCATACATCTTCTCCTTAGCTAGGAGTAGGAAGAGTCCTTTGAACAATTTCACCTTCTAAAAAGCCTGTACATACGGGTTTTTTGGTCCTAATTGTTCCCTTGAAATTTGTTTTCCATAAATGGACTGTAATAGTGTGACATAGTTATGATTCCTGCATAAAGAAAACGTAAGCATGGTCTGAAGTCCCAGCTACTTAGGAGGCTGAGGTAGGAAGACTGTAAATTCAAGGACTGCCTGATTTACAGAGGGAGTTCATGGCCAGCCTGTGCAAATTACGGGGAACCTGTCTTAAATGAGAAGTAAAAAGACAGTAAAGAATGTAGCTCCATGGTAGAGTGCTTAACTATCATGCACAAGGTCCTTGCTTGAATCCCCAGCATCATTTTTTTAAAACAGCCACCACAAGGTTAATAATGACTAGATAAAATTTTTTAAGCTAAAAGTTAAATGTGAAAGGCAACCCATATAGAAATTATACAAAACAACTTTTGCTGCACTGGGGCAACTTGTACACCAGTTCATTGAACAAGCACTGAGTTGACTGAAGAAATCTGTTGGTTAAGTGTTTACTTACTATTCAAAACAGGTACAGGCAAAGCAATTAGAACTGAGCCTGGTACATAATGTCTGCCTTTGAAGTATTTTATTCCAATATTGGTATCACAATCAGTTCTTCCAGTGTTCTCCCTATTTCCTGGCCTTCTAGCATGACTCAATTAACACTGACTAGGGCTTTGGACCAGGTTGCTTTCTATTTGTTTTGTGTTAGTTTTTTGAGACAGTCTCACATAGCACAGGCCGGCCTCAAACACTCCTATATGTAGCTTCAACTGGCCTTAAATTCTGATGCTTTTGCCTCTGACACTCTCCACCTGGGATGACAGGGTGCTTTCCAGATAAGGAGATCAAGCAATGCATGACCCTCAGAGGGATCGCTCCTCTGTGCTTCCTAGTAGGGTCATCTCTGAGCAGGGCTGTAACAGCTCAACCTCCAGCTACTTCCTCCCTATCACATTTCTTCTACAAACCATGTTCCAAGCTTCTTTTCTCCTAGAAGCTGGTGATCAGGAGTTCTGGGCTAGTCCCTAGGGCCGAGCTACACAATGCAATGTACAGGTAGGTGTTACAGGGAGCATGAGTCTAGTGTAATGCACAAGCACGGTTTGGGCCTACTCCAGTCCAGTCCCATATGTACCACTACTCTCTGTTAATGGTCACTGCCTGGCAAATTTATGTTTGGTGCAGTAGAGAACAAAATTAGTATGTGTTCTATAGTGCATTGTCACTTGGGGGCTCCTGCATTAGGCATTTGAAATATACTAGGATCCAGTAATTTAAATTGGTTAGGTAAATTTCAAGTTAAATTCAAACAGAAGAACACTTATATGATGAAGAGAGCATGAAGTGTGGGAACTCAAAGGAGGGGGGATCTGCTCTCTTTTGTACAGGGTATTATTTAACAAAGGTGGCATTGCTGGGTACATCTACATAAATACACACAGTCACAGCTTTGTGTAATAGATACACAGTCAGTGCTGCTTAACTGAGAGCTATACAGATGAAGATGATAGGCCTTTGCAACTGGGGCAGTGGAGATGGCTGTATGGATAAAATGCTTGCTGTGTAGGTGTGAGATCTGC